GATGCCTTTAATGCTGCTGGGTGTCCCCATTGCTGCCCGGGCGTCCCCATTGTTGCCTGGAGGTGCCCAGGGCTTCCCGGGGGTCTCCAGTGCTGCTCGGGGGTCCCCAATGTTGCCTGGAGGTCCCCAATGCTTCTCAGGGGTCCCCAATGCTTCCCGGGGGCCCCCATTGCTACTCAGGGGTCCCCATTGCTGCTCAGGGGTCCCCAATGCTGCCCGGGGTCCCCAATGCTGCCTGGAGGTCCCCATTGCTGCTCGGGGGTTCCCAATGCTGCCCGGGGTCCCCAATGCTGCCCGGGGTCCCCATTGCTGCCTGGATGTCTCTAACGCTGCTGGGTGTCCCCATTTTTGCCCCTCGCTGACCCCACCTCTCTGCAGAGGGGTCCCCATTGCTGCTCAGGGGTCCCCAATGCTGCCCGGGGTCCCCAATGCTGCCTGGAGGTCCCCATTGCTGCTCGGGGGTTCCCAATGCTGCCCGGGGTCCCCAATGCTGCCCGGGGTCCCCATTGCTGCCTGGATGTCTCTAACGCTGCTGGGTGTCCCCATTTTTGCCCCTCGCTGACCCCACCTCTCTGCAGGCAGCGATGCCCGTGGAGCCCCAGCTCTGCGCTGGCACGGCCTCACGGTGAGTCCCAGCCCCCCCAGGGGACAGCCAGCAGTGGGGTGCTGCGGCCACCCCCCCCAGGCGGGTCCCTCCTGGGTGCCACACGCTGTCCCCTGGGCCTGCGAGAGACTCCAGTCCCATTGCTGACCCTGTCCCTGTTGTGTCCCTGGGATGGTGGCACGTGTCCCTGCAGGGTGAGCTCTGTGCTTAACCGGGATGCGAAGCAGTTTGGGAAGAAGCACATGTTCGACGCCAGCGAGGAGACGTGCTGGAACTCGGACCAGGTGGGAGGACAAGGACAGGGGAAGGCGGAGGGGTGGGACGGGAGCCGTGCCGGGGACGGGAGCCGGGGACGGGGGCCATGCACGTGGTGAACACCCCGCTCTCCCCGCCGTGACGGAGCCCCGGTGTCTTTCCTGCCCTCAGGGCACGTGCCAGTGGGTGACCCTGGATTTCCCCCGCACCGTCAAGGTCTCGCAGCTTCACATCCAGTTCCAGGGAGGATTCTCCAGCCGGCTGTGCACGCTGGAAGGTGAGGAGCTGGTTTGGGGGTGTGGGGGTCCCTCTGCCTGTACCCACATCTGGATCCCACAGCTGGCTGTTGCGGGGCCCAGAGGTATTTGTTAGCCATTCCCCAAACCCGAGAGGGGCTCAGGCCATGGGCTGGAGCCGAAAAGGGGTGGGTAGCGAGGATCTGGGGTTCTGCTTTGGGTGCAGATGGGAGCCTGGTCCATGAGATGGACCGAGCCTTGGCCGGGCTGCCTCCACCTTCGCCCTCTGCAGGCTGCAGAGCAGGTGAAGAACTGGTGAAAATATCTGCCCTGTACCCCGAGGACACCAACGCCATGCAGATATCCTTTGCCACGTTGCAGGCTGGGTCAGACGGCTTGGTGGGTGGGTTCAGAGCCCCCCCCGTCACCACGGAGGGGCAGGGGGCAGCGATGGCAGAGCTGTGATTTAAATGAGAGACCCGCGAGTCCCTGTTGGCACTTTGCTGCCACTAAAGCAACTCAGTGGAGCTGGAGCAAATCCGGACATTGCCGGCTGAGGTACCCCAGGGGTGCAAGCCCCACGTGGGCCCGCTCGGAGCACGTCTCCCATGTGTCGTGGCGGCCCCTTGCCTATTTTTCTCCTTTACGAGCCCCGCACAGATTCCAGGTGGAGGAGACGGTGCTGGATAAGCTGAAGGTCACCTTTGAGAACAGCACTGACTTCTTCGGGAGGATCGTGGTGTACCACCTCGGGGTGCTGGGGGAGAGGCTCTAGGGCAGCGGCGAGGGACGGGGGGGGACGCTCCCTCATTGCCTGTGTTCCCCCACAGAGACTCTGCTGCGTGGGGGGAAATGGGACAGCAAACCCTGCCAGCGGGGATGTGCTGCCCCCAGCTGCACCCCAAGGCGCTGAGAGGGAGCCCCTGCCCCACGGGATGGCAGTGACAGAGGGACGCGAGTGCAGAGATCCACGGGCTGAGCTTCTGAGCCCTTGGTGGGGGACAGCCTGTGTACCCAGCCAAATAAATGGTGTCCCCACTCCTTCCCGGCTGCTCCTTGGGCAAGTGGCACCCCAGGACCGAGCCCTCTGGAGTTTGCTGTGGCCATGCTGGTGCATGGCTTGAGCAGGCGAGAGAAGTGCCACCTCCCCGTGCTGTGGGCTCTGGTTGTCCCTCACCTTTACTAACCACCCCTGAACATGGGGCGGCTCTTTGTGGCCTCGTGGGGCTCCGATTTGGGATTGTAGCATGCCAGCTGTCAGCCGAGGCCGTGCTGGGTTCCTGGGTGATGCTTTCCGCGGGATTTTGCTCCCGCCTATGGACATTTCCCTGGCTGGTTATAGCGCTGCGTGCAGGGAGGGCTTGGCAGGTTCATGGGCGTAAGAGGGAGCTTCCCTCCTCAGAGACAGCTCTGGAGAGGGAATACCAGGGCACTGGGAGGGTGCGGGCCTTGAAGAGGTTGGTTGGCCCAGTTCCCCTCGTGGTTCCCCAGTAGCTGGTGCTGGGAGCAGAGACTGGCAGCTGTGACAAGGCTGAGGCAATGGACAGGGCTCCACACGGCTGCTTTAGAGTTTACTTCCAATAACGCAATACCTGAATGCACACGTGCAGGAAGCAGCCGAGCCCGGGCAGGGCAGAAATGCAGCTGCCCTGAGGAACGAGCGTCCCCGGGTGCGAGGCGCTGTGGCCATGCCACCCTCTGGGAGAGGCAGGGATCCACCGAGGGCAGGCAGTTCCCAGCTTCCTCTGCCTGCTCCTTGATTGAAGCATTGTGCCGCTGCCCGGTTCGGGACGGCTGGGTGAGGCCGCGTTGGTCCCAGAGGAGAGCCCTGCGTCGGCCGGGAGAAGCGCCGGTGCTGCAGCGGTGCAGCGTGAGCCACCACGTCACTCCAGCTCCTTTTTCTGAAACAGCTTGAGGATGTGATTTTCGATAACCTGTTGGACTAATGGAGGGGAGAGAAGTGAAACCCAGGGAAGCCAAGCCTGTGAGAAGCCACTATCGCTGTGGGCAGGAACAGGTCACCATTTTGTTCCTGTTTTTCCAGTGGAGGCTGGAAAACCCCTTTCTCCAGGGGCCTGTCCCCATCTCTCCTGTCCCAGCCCTATCTCCAGCACAGCTCTGGTTTGGAGGGGGAGCAAGGGGAACAGGACCCATCTGGATTTTTCTGGTGTGGTTTCTCTGGGTGGCAGAGCCGGGAGCTGTGGTGGAAGGTCAAAAAAAGCCCCGAGCAAGGCTGGAAGCTGGGAATTGCCTGGAGGATTTTTGGGGCAGGAAGGGAGGGCTCCCTGCCAGGCATGGAGGGCACACTTGCCTTTCTTATGTCCCAGGGCCACGGCCAGATCCATCGGGGTGTAGCCAGAATCTGCCTCCGTCGTCAGGTCAGCGCCACGAGCTGCAAGCAGGCAGTGGAGATCAGGGCACGGTGCTCCCCTGCCGACGTGGTGTCCCCTCTGGGTCAGGCACAGGGCAAGGGGACCCCCAAAAGACGCCCGTCCTGGCTGGGCAGCCCCCCATGGCATCCCCGGCTGCTCAGTTTCTCCCCCCAGGCGTGTCACGCTCTCTCCCCGAGGCGGTTACCAACGAGCAGCGATTCGAGGCCAAGGACTCAGTACAGATCTTCCCCGTTACCTAGTAGGGCCTCGACACACTTGACGTGATTGCCGCGCACGGCGTAGAGCAGGGGAGTGCCGCCGTTCTGCAGGGAAAGGGAAGGGGCTGCGTCATTGCCGGCCTCAGGTGGGGCTGTGCTCGTGCAGCCCCCACTTCTCCCGGAGCGGCAGGTCCCCAACCCGCTGGGATCCCCTTGCCGCCCTCTCCCAGCTCCAGGCTGGGTGTTTTCTCGCAGAGCAGCACTGCGCAGGTTTCATTCTCTGTATGCAATACAATAATTTTTAAACTGTGCAATTTTAAAGACAACCTTAAGTTCTGAGCGCTGTTTTCCTTGCGGCTGGTAACACCACCAGTGTGAACAACTGAGGAAACCATTTAAAATTATTATCCAGATTAATTTCTTGAAACAACTGCATGAGCAGGCAAAAGAGTGCTGCGAGCCTGGGAAGCATCTAGGAGAGAGGCACTGCTGCTAACTCAGCCCGGAACGATGTGAACTGGGGCTTGGTGTCGCTCCCAGTGCTGGCGCGGTCCCCGTGGCAGCCTGCGCCCGGCGGCACTCACCCAGTCGTAGATGTTGATGTCCACGTTCCTCTCCAGCAGCATGATGACGATGTCAGTGTAGCCGCCCATGCTGGCCAGGGACAGGGCGCTCTCCCGCTCCTTCGCCAGCGTGTGGGGGTCAGCGCCCTGGGGACGGCACAGGCGTTAGCCCTGTTAGCCCTGACGGGCGAAGGAGCCCTGCTGAGACCTGGGGTGCTCAGCACAGCCTGGCTGGGTACCCCAGGGGGGCTGATCACAGGGCCAGGTTGTGACGGGCTGATGGGGCAGAGACAGCTCACATGTTCCCAGTGACCTCTCCTTACCAAAGTCCTTACCAAACATGTTTTAATCATCATCCAACATCTCAGGTGAGGACTTAAGAGCCCTTCTCCCGTGTCAGTAAACTAAGGCTGATGGTTCCTGTTACAGCCCTTTTTCCCATCACTTGTAATAGCATTACCAGCCCTGTCTAGATGCCTGTACAGTGTCCACTGTCTCTTTTGTTACTGATTTACCTAGAAAACCTCCCTGTCCTCCAAGCCCTGCCAGCCACGGACCTCTCCTGGACTTCATTACAGCCTTTATCAATCTACCACCTCATTTATTTTGGGTTCTGTTTGTCTCTCTGGTAATGCGTTGCAATTTTGCTGCTAATACAGTAACAGAGTTTGGCCAGGGCTTGCGTGGCGTGAGTGCCCGCTGACTGTCGGACACACGTGGATGTGGGACTCAGCTTCGGGGAGCAGCTCAATCCAGAGTGCAGGAGGATCTGGTTCCTTGCTCACACCCAGACAGCCCTCAACTGCAAGCCTGGCACTCAAGGACGATGAAGCAATGAGTTCATTAACTGCAACGACACCTCAGCGAGCACATTTGCTGGCAGATTACAGGGCCCAAGCGATAAGCCTGATCTCAAATTACCAATAAGCAGATACTTAATTACAAACAGTTATTGCTAGCTGTGAGATAAGGCTCTTCATGCTCCTGACTTAGCTCGCAGCCCAATGGGGAGTAGCATCCGACAGCGCCTGAGCCGTTAGCTCTGCAGACGTGTCCTGTTTGGTGCCATGGGGAAGATTGGCTGAGATGGTACCAGGATGGTGCTGGGCAATTTGGCAGCCACCAGGATTGGAGCTGGGAAGTCTCCTGTCAACGAGGCGCTGCGTGAGCGTGGCCTTACCCATTCCAGCAGGTGACGGACCGTTTCGATCTCTCCAAAGGCTGCAGCCCAGATCAGCGGTGTGAAACCTCTCTCATCAGGTTTATTTACCAAGTTCTCACCTGCACAAACATGGATGAGACATCATAAACAGGAAGGGTAAACCCCCCTCTGCTCCCTGTCCCCAACCAGGAACCCCAACAAAGGCTGGGAAAATAAGCCAAGGGTTTATCAAAGAAGTGGCTGAGTCCCCATCCCTGGAGGTGTTTAAAAGTCATGTAGATGTGGTGCTTAGGGACAGGGTTTAGTGGTAGGATGGCAGGGTTAGGGGAACGGTTGGGATCGATGATCATAAAGGGCTTTTCCAACCTAAACGATTCTGTGATTCTGTGGCCTGACAGGACTCTGCAGGATCTGGGGTAAGAACCCAAAGGAAGAGATGTGTACCTTTCTGAAGGTGCTCCTTCAGCTGGCTGAGCTCTCCTTGAGCAGCAAGCTGGTGGATGGACAACGCTGGGGGACAGAAAGAATTCACCCATCAGGACAAACTTTCCCCAGCTCAGCAGCCACCATCTGTAGGTGGGTCGCTGCAAGTCTGCGGCAGTGGTGACTGGACATCCCCAAAACTGTCTGAACCCCCAGGACTGTCTGAACCCCAAAACACCCGATGGGTAACTCCTTCTGCTGTACAGCGGTGGGGACAGGCAGCCACCGTGAGTGGCGAGAGCAGCAGCACTGCAGGGAGCAGCCTGAGAGACCGCCTGGTGGACACTGAGCAGCGTGGCAGCAGGAGATGGAGGAAGGCTCCAGCCCTGCCACCCCTCTGCTCCCTCTATGCCCTGTACGCATCCACGGCCTGGGGTGCACAGCCCGCTCTGCCCGGCAGTACTCACTGTCCAGCGTGGCTGGGAGGGCCGAGACCTCGTTGCCTCGCTGCCTGTTGGTCAGCGTGTTCGAGTGCTTCAGGGGGAAGCCTGTTCCAGAGAGAGGAGAGAGTCAGGGCACATCTCCACCATGCACAGGGAGGAACTACACTGACTGGAGGCCAAGAACCTCGTGAAAACTCAGGTTTCACGCGCCTTATCTGAAGCTGTTCCCTCCTGTCCCTGGCAAAAACTGAGTCCTACAAGAAAGGAATTATTCCCTTGCAAGTAAAGAGCCTGGAGACTGAGGTTTGACCAGTGTGCAGGGACCAACAGCTGAGCAGGGAAGATAAAACAGCCCGAACAGCTGCCCAAGGAGGGGCAGGGTCCATCTGGGGCACTGCGGGAGGCAGGGATCTGGCATTAATGGCATAATTGCAAACGATATACTGCAGAGGACAGCCTGGGGGATGCACTCAAGTTCATCCTCGTATTTCCTACCCTTGAAGAGTTCCACTTGGAAATCTCAATGTGTTTTCAACAAGCGATTTGTAGTTTAATGAGGGAAATATATGGAAAGAGTTTGACATCTCCGATTCCACTGCACGGAGCTGCGGCAACCTCTCACTGCTGGCACGAGTCATCAGCAAGGTCTGGATTTGGCCTTGCCATGTTATGGGAGGGACCGGCAGCAGTAAAAGACTTTTTTTGTAGCTGCTTTTGTGGGATGAGAGATCCAGATGACCTCCCCCATGCCTGTCTCCTGCTGGGGCTGCACCCGAGCATCTGTGAGCACCAGGCTCTGCAACACTCACTGTCAAGGGCCGAGCGCTCAGTGCTCCTCTGCCTGTCCATCGAGGCAATCGAGGGCTTCGGGAGAGTGTCTGCTCCACCTGCAAAACAAGGGCGGCCCTTAGGGACCTTGGGTCCACTTGCTGGGGGGCCGGCTGGGCTCCATGTGTGGCACAACGAGACCCAACCGGCACAGCAAGCACCCCGTGTGCACCCCAACCCCAGGGCGGAGGGCACGGTGATCCCAGTTTACAGGGGGGCAGACGCTGCAGGATCCCAGCCCCATGCATGCCCCGTCTCAGCTCCCACCACCCTGTCACCCCCAGCACTCACTGTCCCCGTGGTCCATGCGTGGCACGTCCTGGTCTGGCCGCAGACGGCCCAGGGGGGCACCGCTGTCCCCCATGTCCCTGGTCGCAGCCAGCTCCTCCGCAGCTCCCTCGGCTCCATTTTCACCCTCTTTTGGGCGCTCCTGGGCGTCCCCATCGTTCGGAGGGATCTCCATGAGACGAGCGACCGCTTCT